CATGCTTATTTTTGATAACTCGTTCTTTTTGTTATAATGATTGGAGATATCCACCTTCTTGGAATATTTGCTCTTATTCAATAATTATTTACATCCCACACAATGGTGGTCATGAACCATACCATTAATTACAAGGTCATATGTGATCCAACTCTTACACAGTATTAATATTATATTCAAACCTGCGTGGTCCCTGCTCGTGATGTACAAAATTTACCATTATGTGAATAATTTGGCAGAATTACACTTGGGTGACCTGTCTTATGTAAACTGATGGGTTCTTTGAGGTTCTTGGGAATTATTTAGATTGGAAGTTAATGTTTTTTTATTCGTGTGTTAAAGGTACATATAAAGCCTTAAAATACACACAGAATGATAGATTGAGGTATTATGGAAACGACCCACTCTTAGAAATAGCAATTTAAAATTAGTTACAAAAAAGAGAAAAAAAATTACCAAGGAATTGTTCTATCTTACCGAAATTTCTTGATTTTGATTTCTCTTTTAAACTTGTGCATTCAGTTGGAAATTTGCGGCTCAAAAATTAGTGCTAATTGTTTTGGTACACTACATACCGTGTTAGTAATTGCAATCCTTTTCACGTAGCTGACTCTAACTGGGACGATTGTAAACTGCCGCCTTAATTCCAAATTATAATTAAAATTTTTGTAACAGGGCTTAAGAGTAACAGAGAAAACTAATACGTGGCAGAATTTCATCGTAAGCTTCATATGACTTTCGTTTAGAATCTGTGCGAGTGTGTTTAATGTTCGGCCCAACACACGTCCAGTATCCGTTGTTATGAAAAAACAATACCTAAATAAACAAAACCTCGGCGCTTTTAAAGCAATACAGACACGAACCACGAAAAGCACCATACATATGCAAATTGCTACGCTTGATCTAGAGAACTGAGTAAACAGTTGTAGCATCGAAGCGTAGAAAAAGGGTGAAGTGGCATTTAAATTCGTTTTACCTTTTTCTGTTTCGAAATCTTGGTAGCATTATGCACTGGCTCCTGTTGGGTGTAATTAATCCGCGCAATATTGCTTGCTGTATGGGCTCGTGCTTATGAAGTGGTTTTTGTCTCCATAGAGAAACAGACAGCCACATGTAAAACGATTTACGATTTTAGCGAGGTCAACCCGACTACGCTTTCATTTGTAATTAAATAGCCCTCGGGGATTGAAGGTGAAATTTTCCAAGCACGAAAACACGCGGGAAAAATCACTGAATTTCATTTCAAAACAAAACGATTATTCAATTATTTCGAATGCGCATCTTTCATTTTAAATTCCAAGTAACTTGGTGCCAGCGATTATTCAGTTAGTACCTATGCGTAAACAGTACCTTTTGCAAATTAATTTCGAGTTATTTTTCTTCGTTTGACTTCCCCGTCCTTAACGTTACTCCGTCCTTTTTTTCCGCATTGTAATTATACTTTGCATAAACTAGTTCCTTGAAGCTGCCGAGCAGAAAGAGTTCGATTGTGTTGAAAAAAAAAATATTATACCAAAGGACAGAAAGTTGGCGGTCCAACATGATGAAGCCAACGAGAAAAAGAGCCAAAAAAACATCGCCAAAATTTAAAATATCCTTATGATAAGTCGGCCATGTCGCCCGCTTTCATTCATTTTTAATAACTTCAACTCTCGCTTTTCGCTCGGTCGATCTTTGATCGACTTGAAATCGTCATGTTTGGATAAAAAAAACTACAAGTCGTAGGCGACGTTAAGAAGATTTTAACTTTAATTTTATGTCACTTCAGAATACGGAAGAAAAGAATTAAAACACCAGCCGAAATTGAAGTCTATGATCGTATATTTTGAAACCAGCACGTTTTGAATCACACAACCTGTCTTAACTGAAAAGGTTATAATTCACGATTAATTTTCTTTACCTTCCCCGTATCTTCTCAAGACCTCGTTATTTTGTTTTAGGCTGTATGATTCGTCGAAAAAATTTCAACCGCATTTCTGATAAATTCTCGCATGATACAATATGGATGCAATGTATGTCAATTAGGGGACTGGTTGCTTGAGTAAGGTTTCGAGTTGCACAGGCACATTAAAGAGCAAAGCGAATTTTTTGAAAAAACAAAATATAAATTAACCTTAAATTTGGACTACAGGGTTTACACATAAAACAACTAATTGTAAATACCAGAGACTCATTCGCGGCCAAAGGGTCGGTGTCATCCATCTTGTTGTAAGATCTGGGCATGGCTCCTAAGTAATGCTTCGTCGATTTTTACACCTTAGATGTCGCTCGCGATTGAAAAATACTCCATTGAGACATCACAAGCCAGAAAATGTATAGTCGTGCCGAACCGTTGACCAGAACGGGTTGTTTTTTTCGTCACATAAGTTCAGAATATTAAAGATCACCTCCGTCAACGAGAAATTCAAATCAGTTCGCGAGAAATTCACAAGGAATCAAAATAGAAGCCCCCGCTCCCGCTCTCGACCAATCAGATTGAAGAACATACCTGCTCTTACATTGTAAGTCTGACAGCTGCTTCGAACAACATTTACATCGACAAACTCGAATAAATATTTCGTTTCTCTATTAAAAAATCATACTCAAAACAGATTCGTTTCCTTTCTGTTTACTTTCATGCTTGCGTCTACATCGACAAAGCCTCTTGCTACACGCGTCAAACAGAAAATTTCACCGCTTGTCAAATTAACGAGAGCGATAATTTATTCATGGCAGGCCGAAGGAGGAATAGAAGTGAAAGCAGTATTTGTGTTAATTAAATATTCGGTAATTTTGTTGAATAAACATCTAGCCCAAACCAATTCCATGTAATTCCCAGGTTGTACCTTCGCTATGCGGAATTTTAACTTTATGCCCTTATCGCCTATCAGGTTTACATTTGATCTCTCTTTCCACGGTAAGATATTCTTGTTTCCTGTGTTCTTCCTTAACATCAGTTTATTTCAAAGCCAAAGGATTGAAAGAAAAAACCCATCTTGCTGTTGGTCAGAAAAATAACGGGCGTGAAGCATCTAGTTTTAATGGGAAACTTCCACAAGACTTTGTATCTTTTAATATTTTATTTACTCACAGGGTCAAAATTGTAAATTCATGATTTCATTTAACAGTATTTTCAAGCGCTGAAGATCCACGAAGACACAATGTATTTACAAGTGTTCAAAAATATTTTCGTTCTTAATTTGATCCTCAGGCGATTCAGAATATTTTTCTGGCTTTATTTTATTTTTATTAAATCGCAGACGTTTGGCTGATAAATGAAAGTGTAACTGCAATATTAAATACCATTTGTGGTTTAGAACTTGAGAAGCAGTCGTTCGACAGAACCAACGGATTAACGAACCTAATGCAACTAATTTTATAAATGATCTTCACCAAGGTGATTGTGGTAACATATTGTGCAAATTCAGCAGTTTTCCTTCCAGTAAGATTCCTTGGCGGCGTTCATTTCGCTGCTTATATTGTCTTTACTAATCTGACGTTTGGCATCAATTAATATACGTTATCTTTTTTGGTTAATACGTAGCTTCTCTTCAGAAACGGCGACAATCTTTCACTTGCCAAAGAAATGATCTGGTCGCCTCCCTGAGAATAAATATTAATTGTCATGAGCGAAACGTCTGATTTTCGATATTTGTCTGTCTGTTGAATTGATTTGTTGAATTCGGTATGCATTGTGTTGCGAAAAGCAGGTGAAATTCAAAAGACTTCTAATCGTAGTGTCATGTTTCAAGTTCCAGCATGTAGTCATCAGAAGAAGGCAATCCTCCCATGAGTCCGTGATGGTCAGACATTATCTGCTTGGCCTGGTACGCCTCCCTTTTGATGCTTTGGTCGAGGCCGGCCGGTATATCGGGCACAAGCATGTCAATGAGCCAGGATATGGAGAACACAAAATGCTATCGCAAAAGAGAGAAAAACTGTTTTGGTAAAAGAGAGCGAAATTTTATTTAGCGGCCTAATTCTACCGTAGATTATCCCTAGGTACATCATGGAGCATTGCTTCTTTTCATGGCTGGGATATTTTTTCAATACAGTTCCTGCACCCAGCATATTTGCGAGATTCTCTTTGGGGTAGAGTCACTGTGAGAAAAATGCAGTCTAAGAACATGACACATGGCCTCTTAAGTTCGTTTGAGCCTTGATCAGGCCAAAGGGGAATAAAGAAAAATAATTGAGCCTTCCGCCGTCCACCCCCTGCTTGTTGACCGGCACGTTTTAGCTCGGAAAATGACTGAAACCTGCGCTTGACACGGACTGCTTGACGCAGGATGCAGGGCGCTTGTCATTAGTTCAAGCCGCCTCCCCACCCATGGTGGTTTATGTTAAGTCTAGCCATCAAACGGAAAACATTCGATATAGAAAGAACACAAGAGAACATGTAACTTGGCTGCCTTCTGCACATCTTTGTGACCTGCGTGTGTCATTTGCGTGGGACAGATTTGTTTCCACTTTTTTTGGTTATGCATACGGAATACGTTCCCCCTTGTTGCATGAGAAGAGCGTTCCCAAGCAATGGACGCGAAAGGAGAATCTTGGAGTAAAGGTGCAAAGATGCACCCTTGGAATTGAGCGTGGTGATAAAAAATAATAAAAAAATTAGACTTTGCATCCTCTTTGTGATTAACAAGTTCAACTCACCTCAAATAAAATAACAAACCCCAGCTTTAATGTCACCAAATGCCAATAAAATTTGCTTGCACTTCCATCGGGATTATTAAATTCGATATACCTGTGGAGATATGGGAGACTTATAAAAAGATGTGACAGGATCCAATAAATTATTTCGACTTTTGCAGATCTATGTCATGAAATATTTACGATTGAATTTAACCAACCAGTAAGACTTGGTGGTTCCTGTTAAAGCTTTGTTTTCAAGATCAAAGCTTACAATTTCACATTACTTTCCCGTTAAGTATTAAACGAATCACCCGCCCACGTGAACTAATATTTTCAAGGATTCTTGTTGTATGCACCAGTATCGTGCATAATGGATGTTGTAGAAAAGCTTGGTGGAAGTTCCGAGGACGGATTTGTGTCCACAATTTTTTCTTCATTAAGGTATTCGACTCCCACGTTTGACAGAGCCATGATTCGCATTATGATTAAAAGCTTTCAGACAAAATGACCTTAAAGGTTGGAACGTTTTTCGTAACAAATAGCGCAATAACAGTTTAGCCTCAAGAAATTTGTATGGCTGATGTTTGTCCTGAATGTGGTTTCTATTGATTTCATACCTTGTTCAGTTTAAGTCGCTCTTTTATTCTTTGAATTCAATTTGCAGATTCTCATGAACGAGGTCATGCGAAGTGGATGGACTCGGAGCTGCACCGAATTTGAGGCGAAATTAGGGTGAGCATGAAAACATTACGACGGGAGTTGCCAGCGAGTATAATGATGACCCATTAGTATTTTTCGCGTTTGAAAGTAATTAGTCTCTTCCTTTATCCTGCAGCACCTTCGGCCCTTACCGTCTCATATTGAACACCAATGTAAACAGATACCCGGATGAGGGTCGTACGCGATATCACGAGCAGGACGGGGAAAAGCTGTGCGGCCCCGCGAGATGCAAGCAAAGCAGAAAGAGAGTAGCACTTAAATGATAAAATGCCTATTGGCGGAAAATGTATGACCCTTGGTTATAACCCCGAGCCAAATGTTTTCTGTTCGGCGTTCCCACTCAGTCAATAAGTATTGTGTAAAATACGTACATATCAGTTTCCAGTGCTAAATAGTTAATAATCATCGGCAACATAATGATGAGAGTAGACGTGAATCATGACGTGTATTTTAGTTGCTGGTGCTTCCAAATGACCAGGGGGACCCTTAGTTCTTATTAAAAATCAATTGAAATATTTTGGCGAAAGTCTCGCTCAGAGGAAAGATCTAATGAAGGATTGAAACATCCTCTGTCAGAATACTTTGCACGATAAGTATGTAATCGTTTTTGGTGACCATGCCACATTCATTTCGCTGTCCATTTCAAAACGATATGATTGTGCCAACGTCCAGAAGTTCCTGTAGCTTTTAAGTTTCCACTTTAATGGCCGGAAATTGTAACCGACGGGCTGTTTGGCCGAGAGCTGGTCTCTGCGCATTGATCACTGTCCTGCCATTTAATAAATTTCTTATCCTTAACACATTTGCGTTGGATTGCTCAGGTTTTAGTTTTCATGCGTTCCTGAGTACTTTTCTTTTGAATAAAGATTACAGTACACAACAACCAGAATTTTTATCACACGTTTGGTGGTGGCATTATGGTGGGTGATCTCTTGGTCGTTAGGTACCTACGGTTGACTGTTTTTTTTCCCTATCGTGTTTAACAAATTCATGAGAGTTTAAGGGAATGAGGTTACCTGCAGGGTACTGATGTAGAGTTGGGTGGCGCCCATGCAAGGCTGTAGTTGGTGTAACCTTGAAGGGAGCCATCTGGTGATATAGAAGCTCTGTACAACAATTTCGGCAAAAATTGCGAGGTGAAGGCTATAAGGAAAGCCTGTGAAAAAGCATAAACAAAAAAGAAATACTGTGGCTCAACATTCTGGCTTTTGTCAGAGAGAGCACATGCTCTCCATTCCACTACAGGCATTCTACAACAGGCATTCTACTACAGGCATTCCACTACAGGCATTAGTGGAATGAGATCTCAGCTAAAACTCGACGAAGTGGCCTAAAATCGCTACCATTGAACAAAAATTACCAAAACAACACTGAAGGTTAGAGTTTATCTACGTAGTTTAGAGCGGAGGCTAAACTCCCATAGAAAGTTTTCTAACGTTATCCTCTCGTAGAGAGCTTTTAATATTATCCTTTCATGGAGGGCTCGGGCTCCTGTGGCTTTTATTAGTTTTTAATAGGGTCGCTCTGAGTTTGAATAGTAGCATGTCGCCAGAAAAATCCATCATGTCTATCAAATAAAAATCCTATTGTTTATCTATCTCATCTAGTTTGGATTCAACAAGCAAGCACTTCGATGCAGCATGTCTGAAGGTATAGTTCCCTGGAAGGGAAGTGCTTCTTCACTCGCTTCGAGGTATTAAGAATGTTTTGCAGCTCTAATGTTACTTCTGGTCATCGCAAGCCATTGCACGAATTATTAATTATTAATCAAAATTATTAATACAAACATTGCAAATGTACTTACATTACTGATGACGGCCATTTTCGCTATTGCTGATAACATACTGAACCAGATCCCAATGTCTTGTGCTCTATGTGCCACTGGCCGCCGCAAATCGCACACCATCTTGTCTGAGTCAATACGAATCTCAAAGATGTTGTTTGCAAGGGCGAAGAACGGAGCCAAAGGAAACGCAGCCACAAAGATGGTGATGAAACCAAACTGGATGACTGGACATTAATCAGGGGAAAAATTACGCATGAGATCGTTTGCTGGTTTCAACAACGATTTTCGTTGCTGTTTCATAAACTCTGTTGACCTAACTTCTCTGCTATTTCTCGAACATTATGAACAGAAAGCCGCGTTACAAGTCATTGAGAAGGTCGTAGCCTGGTAAGTATGTGTTTCATCAAAATTGGTCGAGATCTAAAATTATAACATCAATCACGTTCACTGATGACAAAGTCTCACATACTAAACTGTTGCCAAGACCTTTGAAGATCACTGACTCAACGACCAAAGGTTTCTGGGCTTACCCATCTCCAGGTATTCTCCAAACAAGCCTTCATTTTCCAGTAAATCGTAATCCAATTCCCAGCGGGGCTTCACCTCATTTCCAGTCACTCCCATTTTTCTCTTCTTCATGAACTTTTTTATTTCACTAAGCAAAAAAAGATGTAATAAGTAAACAGGTTTAACAATATTAACGGGATAGAAACAGTCAGGCACTTCGTGTTAATTAAATGAAGGGGAATGCATTGAAAGGGGGTTCAATCAATTAGCAGAGAACTTACGGAACGAGGACTTCCTGAACGTTGCCGATGACTTGCTTGCCAACCATGATAATTGATAGTTGCTGGGCCAACTCCATTAGACATCCACCAGGACTACACTGCAAGTACATGATGACAAAGTAGTTGAGATTTAACTTATAAAAATCACATTGTTTCCATTTTGAAATAGCTTAGCCGAGCAACTTCAGAAACTGAGGTAAAAACGCGAAAAATTATTAAAATGGATACGACGTGTTTCAAAGTAACACGAGCTATCGTGTGTTTGATTTTGTCCTGCGATCTTCTGCCATACAAAGCGAGTCGTTGAGGCAAACTTAACAGTTCAAGTGAAGGTGTAGTCTGATCGTCCTGGTGAGTGTAGTCCTGAGAAGGACTGTTGTCGGTGGTAGTGACTGACGTTTCGACAACCTGTGCGGAAGTCATCATCAGAGTCAAGTGAATGATTGTTGTCAGTAGAATGTTCTTATTCCAGTTCGTGTGAAATGATCGGTTGGTTTTGCCGTGATGTTATTGGCTGTAAGACTCAAGTGACGTAAGTCGGTCGTGATTGGTCTGTTTCGATCTGTCGGTAAAGTTAGGTCGTTCTTTTTCGGTCGTTTGTGATGTTTATGTCGTGAATGAGTCGTTTGTATGGAGCGGGTAGTTGTTGACATCTGTTTAGGGGAGTCTGTTCTAAGTTAGTAAACCAGCTTTCCAGAGTCAGTCGTTGAAAATAGTCAGTGCTGTAGGTTAGGCATTGCGCAGAGTCCCAGTCAATGTTGTGGTTGGTAAGTCGATGGTGTTCAGCAATGTGATTGCTGACATCACCTTTCCTCGTCGCCCGTCTGTGTTCAGTCAGTCTTGTTGTGAGGTTTCTGCCAGTCTCACCGATGTAGGAGGCTTGGCAGTCGGAACAATTGATCTTATAAATCGTTCCCTGTCTGTTCCTCGGTTCGTCTTTGTCTTTAACGTTGGTTAGTAACTGACGTAGTGTGGTGATGGGTTTGTGGGCGACGCGGATATTGAAGGGTAGTAAGATGCGCGAGATGTTTTCAGACAACGCGTTTTGATTGGTACATACTTATGAAAGACAGACGCACAGATGACGTCATCATTAACAACATTTAGCGTTATTATCATATAAAGCAAATACATTCTGTGTTGCCGTGGGTCTGTTCAGTACCAGATCACAGACGATGTCAAAATGTGGTAAGAAAACTAGGGGCACATTTTGTGACACACTCTTGGCTCCCCACTCTTTGTTACCACAATTTGACGTCATCATAGTATCTAAGGCTGGGGCTCCCTCAATCTTTTAGTTCTCGTGTTGACTCGTGTCAATGAATGTTCTATTGGTTACTGTACACTGTACATGGTCAGGTCTAAATACGCAAAAACATACGATAAAGGAGTGTCTCAAGCTTAATAATCATTTCTTCTATTTACTGTCAAAACGAAGAGTGATTAAATGACCTACCGTTAAACGTGCACAGAACTTGAACTGTTAATGCAGTAAATGGCTTGAACCCGGGGGTAACATGTGAAGGTGTAGTCTGATCGTCCGGGTGAGTGTAGTCCTGAGAAGGACTGTTGTCGGTGGTAGTGACTGACGTTTCGACAACCTGCGCGGAAGTCATCATCATTCACGACATAAACATCACAAACGACCGAAAAAGAACGACCTAACTTTACCGACAGATCGAAACAGACCAATCACGACCGACTTACGTCACTTGAGTCTTACAGCCAATAACATCACGGCAAAACCAACCGATCATTTCACACGAACTGGAATAAGAACATTCTACTGACAACAATCATTCACTTGACTCTGATGATGACTTCCGCACAGGTTGTCGAAACGTCAGTCACTACCACCGACAACAGTCCTTCTCAGGACTACACTCACCCGGACGATCAGACTACACCTTCACATGTTACCCCCGGGTTCAAGCCATTTACTGCATTAACAGTTCAAGTTCTGTGCACGTTTAACGGTAGGTCATTTAATCACTCTTCGTTTTGACAGTAAATAGAAGAAATGATTATTAAGCTTGAGACACTCCTTTATCGTATGTTTTTGCGTATTTAGACCTGACCATGTACAGTGTACAGTAACCAATAGAACATTCATTGACACGAGTCAACACGAGAACTAAAAGATTGAGGGAGCCCCAGCCTTAGATACTATGATGACGTCAAATTGTGGTAACAAAGAGTGGGGAGCCAAGAGTGTGTCACAAAATGTGCCCCTAGTTTTCTTACCACATTTTGACATCGTCTGTGATCTGGTACTGAACAGACCCACGGCAACACAGAATGTATTTGCTTTATATGATAATAACGCTAAATGTTGTTAATGATGACGTCATCTGTGCGTCTGTCTTTCATAAGTATGTACCAATCAAAACGCGCGTATCACTGAGCTCATCATGTGATTCATTATTTAAGGATACACTCCAATATTACCTGCTCTGTCCTGAGGCCAAATACTTTCGTATAATTTCCAGGATAACCAACAAGTCTAAAAGACGGGTAGCAAATGAAATAAGTTTAAAGTAAATTATAAATTTCGCTTTTTGCTTATTCAAAGAATCAAAATGAAAATGGAACAAAAATGAAGGGCATCTTGGTCAGCAACTTACTTTCCCTTGAAAAAAGCAATGTAGAAGATGGAAGAGAAGAAATTCATAAACTGGAACACGAACACTTTGAATGTTAAGTTATCTTCGTATTCCGTTTGTGTTCGGTGCATTTCTGGAAAATAAAGAAACAAAATTATCTTTTTATCTTTGGGGTTAATATACGAAGGATTAGTAATTAAAAGTTATTTTGAAGCCAAATCAGAGCTTGAGTGAATCTGAGTCACTGCAGCCCATGGCGATACGCTAACCACAAACAACTGTAGTCAAAGTTGCTTTACCAGTTGCTGGTAGTTATAGCTTATTTTTCATTAACATTTTCCTTTGTGTTCAGATGCTCAAGGTAGATATATATATATAATTTTTAACAAACTGGTTCAAGACTTCAGAGGTAGTTCATCGTTTTATTACGATAGCTCTGTTTCGTATGGTCGAAAATGACCACACTCATCAGGTAATTTCAACGATGAATGTGGTCATTTTCAACCATACGAAACAGAGCTGTCGTAATAAAACGATGAACTACCTCTGAAGTCTTAAACCAGTTTGTTATAAATATCAATCCTCCTCTATGAATTGAGTGCTCTTTGAAATATATTCAAATCAAGTTCAAGAATTTATATAATACATATAGATATATCTGTTATACTATTCACAGTTAATACCAAGCTCAATATCGCATTTTTTTCTCCTGCAGCTAACCACCAGCAGAGCGATTGTAGCTAACTTCGAGTGTGACACGTGGAGTGTTCTCGTTCAACCAGTGAACTCGGAAAGTTTTTTTTCTTGATTAAAAATCCAATGAAGAAAACTCACCCCAATGGTTCAACACGTATGCCAGCTTTTCATAGACCTTTGCGAAAGAAAAAATGATTATTTATGTTCAAGGTTATCTTTTTCCCTTTAGTCATTAAATTTCTGGTCGTCAATCATTAAGCACTCCCACAATAACTCGGAAGGATCATCAGCTTATATCGGGCAATTTTCAACTGAGTGTCGAAAGTATTCCGGATTGCATTGGTTTTGCTTAGCTCCGCTCTGTGGTTGGTCCAGTAAACTCGCGCCACTCTCTCATACAATCAAATGCTATACTTAAACCAAGCACGACTTGTTCCGAAGCGCTTTCCCGCGCTTTAGGCAATTTGCTTGTGTTTACTTTAAGTTCTGATTGGCTCCTTAAGTTGTTATTCTTTCCTCTGATTGGCGGTTGTGATTATTTGGTTTTAGTTTACTACACTCAAACGAAATGCGCTACTCAAATCATACACCTGCTTTACTTTGCACGGTGTTCAGTCGATGCAAGTTGATTTAGTGAACGTTTAAGTAATCCGGACGTTAGATTTGCCTTGCCATGCATCTAATGTAATTGGTCCAGAAATGTTGCACCATCCTTACAGTTAAATGTTTATACCAGAAAACAAACTATTAGTGACCTGGGCTTTAGCATTTTCCCACGCTTGAAGCCACTTCTGTTTTTGTTCATTTGCGTTTCTGATTGATCGTTGGGAAATGTACCTTTGTTTTGACCGGCAGCTTTAATTACTCTGTTTTTTCAGTTCTTTACCACTTAGTTAAAAAGCATTCTCTTGCGTAATTCCTAAACGTTTACTGTGTACAAAACTTGCATGTAAGAAAGCTTTTGAAATAAAAAACAATTGACGTCAATTAAAAACAAATGACGCCCATTTCACACGAAAGCGATAATTAAAATTATTACACAACTCGGGCAGTCAGAAGGCCAATAACTAAAATCAACCAATCAAAAGGCTCTATTGCCGGTCAATATTCTCTCAGTATTGGACCGGGCACTGTCCCGAATGATACCGCACTTGTGTCCCTTTGAACTTCAGTCGTATAATTAATCTCTTTTTAACCAAGTTTGCTCGGGACCGTACTGGAAGAATATCGGCCCTCGGTCTTTTTTGTACGGACCTCGCTGCGCTCGGTCCGTACTGTCAAGAGTTCGGGCCGATATTCTCTCAGTACGGCCCTCGCGCTTGGTTAATAAGACATATGAAATAGGTTTTTCCTTCTTTACTTACCTTGCTCAGTATCATTATGATGATCAGATTCATGATTGAGCCTGTAACAGACACAATAGTGGCAGCATACTGCTGAAAGTCTGGGTTTTCATAGAGTGGATGAATCACCAGCAGCTTGTATACAATAACACCGACCATAAACAATACAACGAGCGAAACCTGTGAAGACGGCACATACCATCTCGTTAGAAGAGGTTGAAGAGTTAAGAATTGTCAGACTTTTGATACCCAAATCATGAGGGGACAGCATTGAGTTTTTATCAGGGGTTTTTGAATCTTCTGATTCAGTTAAAAATTTCACTCATAGCTTCACTCTTCAGATTCTCCTTTGATCGGTTTGCACCAAGTTTAACATGCAAATAAGCGAGAGTAAAAGGAATGAGTGGATCGCAATTCAGGGAGCAATTGGGCGAGTGAATTAAAGTCGGTTGGTTGATGTAAGGTTGAGTTAAAACTACGACCACGATACCTTTTGAATCAACAGGTGACGAATCGATCTTCAGTAGGCTCAATGAAATTAAAGGCCTTTCTAAAATTGTGCGACCCAAATCTGTATTACCGCAGCCAAAGGAAATAATTGATAACATCTAAAAAATTATTGCATGATCTGTTCTTGGCTGGATTATTGTCTGGACCGGCTTGCTAGCTTTTGTAATCAACATTTTTAGATTGGTCGAATAAGCTATAGTCTTCTGACAAGTTTCGACCGCTAATATTCGCTTTCAAACCGTAGCTGATTAAGCTGTTTACTCAAAATGTGATCTAACTTAAACTGGTTAGCACTGACTTGAAGTAACTCTGTTTAGCTTGTAATACTTGTTACTTAAATTTCTTTGTCTCTTAAACTGTCCTTGAGCCGCTCGGTTCTCACTGAATTCGCTTAGCCAATCAAATACTATCGTTTCAACTGAAATTTATCTTGAAGGTTCTTATTTCGCTAATCATCTATTAAGAAGAGTTTCGTTTTCTTACCATACATATAACAATGGCAATTCCTGAGACGATCCTTGGGAATCGCTTTTCTTCGGGAAAGTGCGGTTCCAATAGCCCTGTTACAGGGTTCCTCTCCACAGCCGGAGCTAACGCTGCAAAGGTGGGTCGAGGTCTTTCCTAGAAGAAAATGAAACAGTTAAATATGCAAGAGGGTATGCGGGAGAAGGGTGATTACTAATTTTTTTGAAAACACCCCATGAATTATTCTTGATTTTATAGCCGTTGTGAGTGAGTATCTCTGAATCATTGATTTTGGATCTTTTTGGACAAATGGTTACTTCAAAAACATTACCACATAGGTAAATTTATCAATGCGCAACAGATCGATCTGCCTCATCGGACTGAAATACCTCTTCTTCTTCAAAGCCTAGCACATCCCACTGGTAAGCCAGAGTGATTTCCTTTCGTTTCCATTACTCCAGGAAAAACACGGCTGTAGAAAAATCAACGTGCAAAATGAACAAAAAAATAAGGGTGCACACAGACTAAACTGACCCTGTGTTGCTAAAAAAAATAAGAATTATCATGATGGTTTCACTGCCATTTTGCTAACATGATTTCCAGTATATAGTTAAGTAATGTCGCCATATTCATAATATAACACAGCAACAAACAAGTGAACTCACCCCAGAAGGAAACAAAAAGGGCATAACCCACTGTGGCTGGATTGTCAAACAAGTACGACGACTTGAAAAGGAAAAAACGAAATATCAATAATTGAGTCAGCGATACTTGTAGCATTAAACTGTTAGGTTAGTCAAGGACTTGGCCCGATTTACTCAGGATACTTTTATCGCGCTGAAAAACTTTCCGTCCCGGATGTTGCTCCATTGCAGAAATGGGGAAGACCAAAATCAAATCAAATCAAATCAAATCAAATCACCACAAACAAACATCAACATTAACATCAAAAGATCTTTTATGTTTGTGCCCACCGTCATGTCTAATGGTAACATTTCTGCACTTTTGCCTCAAGTAAATACGACCCGAGTCCGTTACATGTAGAAATTCTGTTTGCAGTCAGTATTCTCAGCATCGCACCAAGTTTCCCACAAAGCTACCATTATTTAGTGTCCATAAAATCTAGTCTTTCAGTGGCGTTACGATATGTATTCGACACACGGAAAACCTCCTTACCCTCGCTCGGGAGCAACTGGTTTTCAAGTCCCATGGTTTACAGCCCAGTTCTTCTTCACAAAGTGGACACATTACATAGGTCCAATTTGGGCTGTTACAGATGTCAAGCCTGCAAAGGAACACAAGCTATTAAACATTTCAAAATTTTTCTTCACAATACACGTGACAGGGAGGCATATTAAGATACACAAGAGAAGATGATGTTTAATTGCTGAAGTTTTTCTTGATGTACAGCGAGGTTGGGTGAAACTCAGTTTCCCCGGCAACTGGCACGAAGCAGTGGAAATTTTTTGAAGCTCATTTTTTGTGGTGATCGTTAAATGAAATTCCTAACGCGGCAGAATACTTAGTAATTTGGAGCCGGGATTTCAGAGAGTGGTCGAACGGTCGGATGATCATAACGAGAAATGGACTGGACTTTCATTTAAGATTTGAGAGAGTGGTCTCAAAAACAAAGTGATTATACATTGCAGGTGTTTTACCGTGGCTTTCATTGCTAATCTTTTTCTACTTACGCTGTGTTCTGAGCACTATCTATTGTCAAATAACCGTATAGGAATACAAGAAGTCCAACGAAGGAGGGCGGGATCAGCCATGCTGTGTATTGCCCTGTTAGAAATAAAAAGAAATTTAGGCAATTTGATAAATTCAAAGTTTGCAACCTTTGTTGAAGTGGATAGCATGTTCTGTTTGCGGGTCACACTGGTCAGCTATTCAGAGGGAGAGAGGTAACAAGCAATCAGGAGGATAGGGACACCCAAATGAAGATATGAGGAGGAACAGAGCATAGGAACAGCCAAAGGAAGAAATGAGGTATATAGGAAAGGAGCCAGTGGAAGCGTGTAAAATGTCGAGCGGTTATAGGTTGGCTGGTAGGTAGGCTAGCTACTTCAGGTAAGGAACATAGTTGGGTTGAACTACTTGTGTAAAATGATTTGTAGATGAGCCCGTTTTTAGCGATGTAAAGATCAACGCTATACTAAGAGACACTAGCTTACCAAGCCAACCGAAGTAGATCCCGATCTTCTCTCCAAAGTATTCTCTGACGTGGTCCAGCGGTTGATATTTCAGCCACTTTCCCCATCGAGCCCAGTACTCCTTAAGTATCTAATAACAAGGAATATAAATGATTAGACTCGCACGACCATTGCTACTACGTTAATTTTAATGAAGTTTGAAAATAATCAGCCATAGATTTTATCCGCATGATCTTCAACGACATGGCTGATCAAGTTACTGTGAAGGTTTTATAAAGCGGACTCCATGTTAAACGCACCTGTACCAGACTTCCAGAATTCGTACTCACTGTAAGATAAACTTGTATATTGTGGATACGTCTGCCCAAAACGACCACATTAGAAGGGTTACCGATTACTCTGTCTTGTCTATGGAGTTTTTGGCGATGAATTGTTTAATTCTTATTGCCTCTATCAAGCAAGTGCGGGTCTGACGATATCCTATATCGTTTAGTTAACAATTATGTAACTCGAGATAGCTGCAATCCAACCCGTTGTTAGGGGTATCTTCACTTTCTTTGATTGGAATAGAGTTGAAACAACACACGTTCCGCTTGGTGTTCGTTATTGCTCCTGATTCTCTCTGTCTTCCTTTCGACTAAGCCCTAAAGAACGTTACAGCCGGGTAGAGTCCTGGGGCGTTATTAGGATGATCTCACCTGTCTCTGATTAAGTGTTCTCTCCTCCGGTCCATCTGGAGTTTTATTCCAGTCTGAGGGAAGCTCTGCTGGACCCTGTGAGTACATCAATACGATTTCAAAAAATCTTTTCACCAATTCGAGCCAAATACAGACTGAGTGGGAAGTCCGGAAAGTTTACAAATGAAATATATTCGATTTTCAGATTTATTTTTTGTGCCTCATATGTACTTCTTCCAATATTGGTGAGGTGCAGTCAGTTTTGGTAGCGTTTGGGACACTACGCTAAGTTCTATATCAACTCATTGGGAGACCAGATTAATTAAGTAATTTCACATACTTTCACGTTATTTCATTACTATGTATGTAGGACAACTGAGTTACATAAATTTAATCACTACATCAGTCACTTGCCATGCTACTCCACTCACCACATGAAGTGGATATGCTGCTGTAAATACTCCTTCCTCCACAAGTCGACTTATGCCTGAACGAAAAATGTCAACATTACCACTATTCATTTTTCAACCTGGTTTGATAAGAAACGTAGTTCATGCTCTGGTCAGTCTCTGCAAAGGTGGTGCTACACTTAAAACTTGTTAGGCATTAGAAAAATCCAACACTACCTCGAAGTCCTTAATTCTATCAGGTTCCGTCTTCGTTCCAATCAATCAGAGACAAAGAAAACCTTTGTTGCTTCGAAGGTGCTTACTTGCCCCTAGTGATAACAATTCCTTTTCAAATCTGGCCGCTCTATAATGAAATTTAAAGCCCTTTTCCATCTCGGCTACAAGATATTATTTGGCAGTCTTTCAAACTATCATACCGTTGTATGGATCTTATTCTTCGTGAGGGTAGAAAAAGGAAACTATTTAAGTCAACCTCGAGGAATCGAACCCAAATCCTTCAGATACCCTACTCCGATACTTCACCTCTTAGTTACAGGGAACTCGATAATGAGGCTATATACCTGACTCACTTACGTCAAGCGAAGCGTCCTGTATACTACTGGGATAACCAAATGGTTGAGCGTTGAGATTGTTACTTTTTCAATGCAGTTATCTTTTTACTGACTTATTACGTTCAGTACCTGCCTTATGTGAAATATTCTGCGTGCTTTTTATGACCGACGATATGATGTCCTATAATGACTAACATTATAATTGTCCTAATTTCGGGTTAGTGTCGGATCGGTGATTAACGCTAAATCCTCTTGTTTTCATCCCCTATTGAAGTAAAATCGATCCGTTACCTATTTCTCCTTTGTTGCGGCTTCCGTACACAGCTGTCTCGAGGATTTCATTTGCCTAAAGTAAAAACAAACACCATTCAAACAAACAACTCGAAAAAATGCACCTGGACCAATTTATTTGATGTATCTTCAGATTTTGAAGTTATTTAACTCTAAGAACACCAGAATTCAACAAAAACTCACCACTCTTGTTCGTTCCGTGTCCTTGAAGTACGTTTCTGGGTTGTCGCTCCCTACAAATCTGTTGGGGAAGAAAAATTTGAAGGATTTAGATACAACACAAAGAAAAGAAAACGAACAAGATGCCTAAAAACTGCATATTCCCTCTGAGCACTGGGACACAACCAGATAAGAGGGAAAGTCGATGCTTCTGCAAGAATTTTCACAACGGCATCCACTCACTAAAAAGTAAAAAAATAAACTCTGCTTGTGAAGAACTCATTTCTATTTGCAGCCATAAATTTCGGAGCAGAAACATTGTATACATTTACGAAAGTGAAACAGCGAGCCCCTTTGCTACAAAGTGATCTTTTTGGTGGTACTCAGAGTGTTCATCTTCGCCAATCGTAGTTATGTATTTTTACTACAATTGGCAGTAATGTCGTAATCTGATTGGCTAATTTGCCGTTGTCAATAAGAGTAAGGACAACGCGGCTCGCGTCAACGTGTCACGCAACGTTTCACACGCTGAAATAATCGTTTTATTTGACGTCGATACAAAACACAAAATAATCAGTTTTCACTTTCGTAAACTAATTCTATAAGAAACTACTTTACATAGGCTGCACCTCGCGAGTCCACAACATTTTGACCACTGCGATGACGAATATCGTTGTCGATAAGAGTAAAGACCACGCGAAACCACTGTCGAATTATTAATTTTCTCACCAGTGATGTTATATTGATGCAAAAACAACATATGAAGTTTTTTAAATTACCTGTTCAGTTTATTGGCCTGAAAGGCGGCTGTAAAGTAATCTGGGGGTTGATCTGGCACATCATCCTTGAACATGTTTGGCAAATGAAATTTCTTCAATATTCGTTCCGACCAGTTAATCTTCTCATCTGTTCTCGCCTTAGAGTTGAAAGAGGATTTGAGGAGAGAGAGTCAGTTAGTACTATTCTGATGTGTGCTGGGTTCGTCTCAGAAGATCTTAGGTTATGGCTATGATCCACTGCCTTGTCTAAAAACATTTTACAACGATGCGCTTCAGATTCTAGGACACGTTTAATAAATTCTTTCCTCTTCAATTTCTGACGCCTAGTTACAAGTGACTCTACAGTATCCCAAGGGAGTCCTATGACATTTAGACATCTGCTCTGTACTCTCTGTAGATCTTCTTCGTGGTAGATGGGCAGCCCTCCCCAGACAGGCGAGGCAAACTCTAACACAGGTCTAATATAGAGTTCAATTTTAATGCGCTATAGAGTTCAATTTTAATGCGCTATACAAGAACTTATTATTAAATTATTAATATTAGTGATGTATGTTGGGGAGATGGGCTGTTCTGTAGACCCTAAGTGTTGCTTTTAAAACATGTTAATTCGTCTGTTTTATCATGTTTAAATAAAGGTCATCCATCCATCCATCCATTCGTATCTTATTCTCGTTGATGTTTCACTTATTGCGCAACTGTACACACTTGCGTGACAGGCTTAGTTATCGGATTTCATTGTGTAAGAGACGTACATGTAGTTCTTTTCGAGGTCTCATCGTTGCAACGCTACTTGTTCGCTACACGCTACCTTTTCCACCGCTACCCATTGCCGCTAGGAGCCGGAATAAAGTAAGCCATCTTACTGATCTACTTGATTATTATAGTTAGCTTCATTATCTTAAGTGGCATGATTGTGTGGTTTCGCGATTCTATGCCACGTGCGTCGAGGTTAAGAAGTTCATCTACTGGCGTCGGCTTATTTAGGTTCCTTTCTTTACCTTCTAGTTCGAACCACAACAAATTTCACTGCGACAAGGCCTTATCGCTACGCGAAGCTATACATCGAATCACCATTATCTGCTCTCCGAATTTACGGTTCAAATCATCGATCTATTGTTCTACAAGCCGCTGCTTTTTTCTTCACATCAATTAAAGTTTACGTTGTGCGTTACAATTGTGTGGACTCTAAATTCGTCGCCCACGACCCAAGATGGTGGACGCTTACTAGAAATATATCATTTTTCGTTTGAATAACGTCTTTTCCGGTCGAACTATCACTATCATATGCACTAGCCCTCTATACCTTCAGTGGACCTTTGAAATTCAGCTCTTCGGCGTAGAATAACATGACTTCCCACGGCACGTGAACTTTGATGAAGTGAAGATGACCTTTCTTAGTTGGGGATTGTTCCTAAAACGGGTTAGTTATGCTGTTAGTCTGATAAACTTAGAAACGGTGATCATTATATGGAGAGAAGCTGAGGGTGGTAGCAGATGATGAGTAGTTTGTCTTGCAGCTTAGTCATAAATTAGATAATAGATGTGGGGTACCAATCAGATGCCTCAATCATTAACTCTTAACTACCATTCAGTAATGTGGAGTGGAGAGAAATTGGGATATCATAGAACTATTATCTCATTTTCTTCACCTCGTAAATAATCAATAGCACATCCCAGCAAGTGCGCATTGCGGAACAAGAGGATGATTCAAATAACGAGAAAGCAGTCAAACCTCTTCGAACTCCAGCTGAGATTTCTGCAGGTTTTTCATATACCTCCTTCTATATCGTAAGGTTTCTTTCGAAGCCGGTTCATCATCGAACTCTTCGTAAGCCAGGACAAAGTCTACGAGGAAGGTGAAGAAAACAAATTAGATTTTAGTAACAACAACAACAACACTTCTATATCATACATTTTCTTTACCCAATCAGCTATCCTAGGTGAAGTAAGAACAACGTTCTCTCGTGGCACAGTGACTCACCTATTCTTCTTTTCTGATCTCTGAAGAAACAGCCTGCCTCTCCACTCATGTCGATCTCATCAAAATCACTCTGAAAATAGTAATTCGAATGAAATCAGTCGAACAAATCCTTTTGGTTAACTCGTGCAATGAAATGCTTCAATTCTAAGAGGAGGAACAAAAGTAAAATAGACAAGTAAGGAGGCCGTTAATTCCCTCTGGGGGTTTTTATGTAGTCAGTAACCTTTCACCCATATCACAGTACTTGTTTTTCGACTCGGAATGCTATGCTATAGTAACTCTGATAAACTTAGCTCTTACCAAGCTGTAAAACTCAGAGTTTTTAAACAGCTGCTCTGCGTCTTTTTCAACCAATAGTGTAACTTTGTCAAGGGATCTTTGAACAAGTTGAACCGCTGCATCTTGAGGAACAGAACGAACGTCCACGCCATTTATCTGAAGGTGAGAAGACTCTCGCTTTAAAAAAAACGTTTGAATTACTTTTAGATGACATGAAACCGAGACTGATGGGGGTAGGGATGGGAGATTGATGGTGGGAGGGGTACCACTGTTGTTCATGCTCGACCTCAAATTTTGGTGTCAGATGTGGGTGGTCCCCAGTGTTTGGGCTTGCTTTGAAATCCTGCTCGCCTGATGAAGTTTTCGAAACTTGTTATCTACCTCCAATGTGGTTCCATCGCGTAAGGAATACAGAAGATTTATTTTTAACAGTTTAGAGTACCTCAAGGAGTCTGTCTCCGATCTTTAGCCGACTGTCACGATCAGCGGAGCCTCCTGGTTTAATTGACGTTACAAAGATTCCCGGATGACCACGCATTTAATTAGCGTCACTGCCTCCTCTGATATTGAATCCAAGGCCTGGGGAGGAGTGGTAATAAATGCAATTTTGACTGAATCTACGAACATGATTTCACCAGAAGTCTTTATCCGAGAATACTTTCAAGACACAGTGATTTGTGCGTCAGTCCCTTGAAGGGGCACTAAAAATTGCAAGAAGCTTTAAGCTCGGTTGATGTTGTTTCTAAAAGTAAGACCAACAGATTAAATACAATTGTGTTCTATCTAAATAAAAATGCGCATGGAGATAGCACACCGAGAACGGTGTCTGTTTAAAATATCTTTCCCTTTGTATCTGTTATTGTCCAGGAGAGAAAAAATGAATTAAAAAAGAAAACAGCTAAGTTTTGAAAAATTCAGATCCGCTCCTTGCTCTATGATTGTTTAAACAGTTACTTTTCGAAAGAAACTCTACTCTGGGTAAAAAAAAAAAAACAAAAAAAAAACAGCTCATATAGTCTTGAATAAAACGACAATCGTAACTTCTTATGTATTCATTAATTACCATATTCAGGGTCTTTGTACAATTCAATCACATTTTCTACTCCTCTTACGCTGTCCACTGCGCCTTCCCGTACGGTTTTCTGTGCAAAAAAAAAAAAAAAAAAATGCGGTCAGCTAACCTTTTGTAAATTGCAAGAGACTACAACTAGTTCTGTCTAAGGCTTTCCTTACGTGAGGTGTTGCCATGTCTAGCACAGTCAACGTTGCATACTTCAATCTTTAGGAATCGGCGGCCAAAGCAGTTTTTGACGTGGCTAGTGAAGGTGTTAAAAAGGTGGGGTTAGTGAATATTTGAAGATTCCGTTGTTAACATTGTTGTTTTTGGTTGAGAAAACAGCTATGCTTTGTTCCACGATCTCGTTTCATACATATCATCAACTTATATTGTTTTCGTATGAAAATTAAGCAGTTGATCAAAAGGGTCTTGGCCTTCTTGTATTTCCAAATCAAAATTCCTCGAATAAAATGGCGATGAAATCAACTTGCACAAACCCGTGGTACTGTTTTGCTCTTTTACTCGCATTATTTTGGCATCTCTGTATCAGCTTAATGTCACGTCTAACAAGCTTATTGTCAAAAAGAGAGCCTTAGAGGTTTTCCGGCTGCAACATTGGTTTCAAACCGCATTGTAGCTGCAGAAATTCTTGGGAGGTTTTTATGGGTCAGCCAGCTCAAAATGATCGAATACTATTTAATCTTGAGCACGGTCAGGTCCAAAAACCTGACAATAACCCGTCTTAAAAACAAACATTTGTCAGATTACCTAACTGGTCACTTCTAATAAATTTAGCCATGTTTATCAGTCGATTACCACAGACAGATACTTATTACTGAGGCGAAAAGGGGAAAAAGGAGGCAGAAAGATATCTTTTTCTCTGTAGCTCGGCAAGGGAAAGATAGCTCCAGTGAAGTTCGTTCACAAGAAGCAGATCTACGGTGATGAATAAAAATTGAAATGGTGGTTTGGATGAAGAAAGAGGGAACGAAGCTGGATGCAAAGGGAGATGGTCACTTTGTTGCGTTTTTTTCAGATTTGAGTTAAAAGGCAGTGAGAATCAGAAACTTGGATGACATACCACGACTTGCTGGAGTGCCTTTTTCTCCACCAATAGGAGAAGTCTTTTTTTAGACTGAATGAGGTTGATGGCGCGGTCGATGGTGGTGTCCTCTACGTTAACATTATTGATCTGTTGAATTGAAAAAAAAAAGGTGAGATTTTTCTTACATATGCCTTTTTGGTCACATGACTCTCCATTATGAGAGGAACATTATGCATCTTTTCAGCTCCAATTAACGTATTATCGAGAAATCAGACGAAATTCGTCCCGGAAATGGTATCTGTAAACCTCTCACGGAATACCACTCTATTGGCTGATGTTTTAAGCAGAGTAGTCGCTCAGCCAATCCTTCATCACGGTTTTCATCTCATAAAAGACGTCAGGAAGGTTCTTGAAAGCATTCCTACCTCGATAAGTTTATCACCAACATTAAGTCTCCCGTCACTGGCAGCCGCGCCTTCTGAATTAATTCGGGTCACAAAGATACTTGGATCCTCGGGAACATACGGGCTATCTCTGCCTCCTCGGATGTTAAAACCCAGGCCTCTCCCTATCAAGGAATTATCTTAATCAACAAGTGAAAACAGAGGACATTGCATTTGTAGCAGTGTACATGCGCTACTATTTTTATGATAATATAAAGGTGAAATACAGTACCTTTCTTTTCTTTATGTAGCTGTATGCTCATGACGCCGAGTCCATCATCCCCATCTTCGCCTTCAGTGAACTGCAAACATAAAATTTTAACTTAGCGCAAGTTGCTCTTCAGTCAAATCATGGAAACCCTTCAATGACTTGTAGGACGAAAAATTTAAATCAAAATTGGTTGAAGAAATACAACCAATTTTTTATGGTGCTGAACATAAAAGAAAATAACCCAAAATTTCCTTGATAATACTCGATCCAGTTTTGTTTCCCAGTAAATCTTAAATTTGATCAGAATCGTGTAATCAAATCACATGAAAGAAGATGAAGACGAAAAAAATAAAAAAAACAGTTCAAGNAATGCTTGGTATCTTTATTTTTCAATTGTTAGTTTCCAACTTTGTTGCTACATATTCGTTTACCAATTCTTGAAGCGCCGATTACCTTTATAGCTCGTTTGTGTACCACTAAGGTCAACTTCCCTCCTTTTGTTTTCCGTACCAAGTCCAAGGCTTCAGAATGTGGGACATCACTAACATCTTTACCATTGATCTGCCCAAAATGATAAAGACAAAGTCATCTCATGTTACTTAAAGCCTCAAACGAAGTAACTATGCAGGAACAGTCGCGAGAGTTAGAACTTTACAAGCTAATTGAAGATGTTTGTAAATCCCCATTTTTTTTTTAACGCTTTGATAAAGTTGGTGCGGAAAATTAAACAAAATTTGTAGTTTATGTGACTAAATTGTCAAAACTATTGCGTAACAAACCTCCAGTATTTTGTCTCCAGGAGCCAAACGGCCATCTTTCTCTGCGGTAGCCCCTGGTCTAAGCCTTGTAATGTAGATGGAAGGATCCCCTTCTCTGAAGGGCTTGTCTCGACCCCCTTTGATATTGAACCCGTAACCCCCTATGAACATCAAAGTTTCAAAGAGAAGTGTTAAAAAAAATATTTTTTGTTATAAAAGCCTTGAGTATCTTTTCTATGCTTAAAATTTTGCTTGGCTCAAAGATCGTGACTAAATCAGATAAGGGAGGAAAAAGGTGGTTTTTTAGCGGAAACTGTCGTGTGGAGTGGGAAGACTAATGTTAAAAGAGAGAAATAAAGAACTGAAAGTTATTTCATGAATGTAAAAACTTTATTAAGACTTCGTGACCACGAGTATTTTGTGAGGATGGATACTCTCTGGGCACCGAAGACTAAACGAACAATTCCGGAAATGACCGACGGTTGTGAAAACGTTCCTGCTGTGGGTTTCACCTAAATTTTAATTCAAAGAAGTAATTCTATAAAACATTGTGTCTAGAATATGGACGGTTTTTTCAAAAGGTTGGTTGACAGTTTTGTTAATTAAAGCCATTTGAATTATGCCAGCTGGTTTCTCTTTGAGTCTTACCTTTCTTTTTATTGAGCGATACTGTCAGAGTTTCCATGGGTTCGTCAGGATTTGTGGACTCTGGCTCAGCTGCAGATTCTTCAGCAGCCGGCGAGCCAGGCTCCTCAGCCAACGGAACCAACTCCTGGTGAAGATTGCAAGACCTCGATCAATCTCAGAAGAAATTTCATAAAACTCAAAATGCCAAACACTTTACTCCTGATACACCTGAATGACAACGTCTTACCCGAGAAAAAATACCTATCGGTTATTGTTGAAGTGAAGTGGGGAAATTGGCCAGATGTGGAAAACTAACGCAGGCAGCAGATAGAATTTACCACACTTCCCAGACGGTGGGCGATTTATCAGATGAAAGCAAGCGATTATTGGCACAACCCGCCTGAAATTTTGAAGTGAATTCGTTGAAAAACAACTGAACCTAAGAAGACATCATGAATTGAGTTTGTAGAATTAGTATTAAGTCTTGTTTGTGGTTAATCTACAAGACATTTAAGCCTGACAGCGATTTCACTGACGTTTTAATTAAAAATGTTTAATCAAACAACCACGAAATAGTTTTAGATAAAAAAAAATAACAATTAATTCTATAGATTGCTACGAAGGCCATGTGTTGGGATGATGAATATTCCAAATGAATTTGATAAACTTTCTCCTTGTATTAAGGAACAGAAAATGAAATATCGAATCATCTTGTGAAATAAAATAATCAGGATTCTTCACATGTCTAAAAGAAATTGTTTTCCAAATACATGAGGTATACGTGATCTCCCAGCAGTTAGGAAAATCAATTTTGAATGTTTTATTTACTGTTAAAAAAACATGCGAGTGATCTTTTAGCTCTGATGTGGAAGTATCTGGATAGTTTTATTTCTTCGATTTTGACTGACCCCCTGATACTATGGCTCAATAAAAGTGAAACAGTAGGCAATTTAGATCAAACATCGTAGTCGTGATCAAAATATATTAGTTTAGTAAGTATGGAAAGATATAGGTTTTTTATTACGTAAACGGCCCTGCCAAAGCTATCAATCAAATGGGATATATGGTAACGGTTTTATTTGTTTAGGCTAAGGCTCACGATTGAAGTTATGTATATTCATTAAATCCTCTTTTCAGATAAGCCAAGAAAGTGAAAAAAAAGTCTGCTTTTAGTTTCATATAAGGAAGTCGTATTTTAGATTAACCGCACGCCGAAGGTAAACATTGCCATTGCTGTTAGAAGGTACCGTTGTAAAAAAATAATGTGCTCTGGCGACACTGTTATTGGTGCTCAATTAAAATTCCTTCCAGTAGCTACTTATGATGCAAATCCCTTCTAAAAGAAGAAGTCCTTGAGGTCATTAACCAGTCGAGAGGCCGAAAAAATCATTCGAAGTTTCTCAAAAACGATTTTAACATGGATTCATTCTCAAAACTTATGTTCAACAAGCTTCCTGAGAATAATTTCGAAAACCAATCGGATTGGAGCCAGTAAAGAACGAAATTCACCCAATTCTAGAAGAATAGAAAACAGCACGAGATCCTTCTATCAATATTCAACTGCATCGAAAACGGGTTGGTTCCTGTTTAACCGTATGGAAAAGTGTTTTACAAACAAATTGACAGACAAATCGTTCATTTTCGATATCAAAGAAATTAATTTTCCTTTCAGGAATGATTATAAATTGCACCTAGGAGGGTAGAAATGGGTGAAAGAGAATTCTATCCGTTTGTTTGGCTGCGCGCGCTTCACATCACGTAAGCTTGTCGAAACTCCTCAACTATCCCGTATTCCGTTCATGGTCTCCCTCAGATACGCTAAAAAAAGATGACGCACTACAGACACCAAAACAAACCCATTACGCTAACTTTTTCCGGGTTTCACAGGTGGCGTTGTTATGACAAAGTATGAAAGGGTCATTATGACGGATTTGTCCTGGCCAGGTGTTGTGTATTCAGTCAAGCAACAAAATGTTTCTAGATGCTGACCGTAAAGGAATGTCTGTAGAAACTAATCAGCGGCTTGCTCATTTCTGTGTAGTTTAGATGGAATTAAGTTGTCCTCTACCCAAAGAATTTATCCTTCTCCAATTATTCAAAGGAATATAAATTTAGTCAATTTAGAGCGGTAATTTCTCTTGACAATGTTGGACCGTTTGCCCAAAGTTTCATGTCTAAATTAGGAGAAAATTGTTAAATTTGTGTTTGATTAATTAAGGGAAAACACAAAATCTGGTTGTAAACAAAGCGAAATCGATCCATCCAACGCGGAAAATATATTCGATCTAGAACCATGTAGATTACTGACCCTTAAGAACACTTGATCGTCTACCATAGTTCGATACATTGCCGGGCAAACGGTTAAGAATTAAGCGCCTTTTTTTCGTTTGAACTTCATAGGGAAATTTACAACAATGAACACATCTTTGCTAGATAGAAGTTAAAAAAACTTTAGTAAAGATTTGACTGACCAAGTTGTTTGTTGTTTATCTTGTCAATGGATTTGTGTCAAACCTACCTCATCGGCCATTACTTGTCACAGAGTGCTTCAAACTCCTTCACTGAACCAAAAGAGAACACGAAAGTTAACAACTTATCCTCAGCTGGCCTTTGTCATCTTAAAGACACACATTCAGCCGGCTTTTGATTTCGATTTGAGGGCAACATTTTACAAGATTCTTAGTGTTAGTTTCGTGGGAGTAACATGCCATTGAAGGCTCGCGGCTTTTCTCAGACACGACTTCGATCACAAAGAATACTCATGCAAATTCCTGTGCTCATTTTGTATGAAAAGGCTTCCCGTAGGACTATCAAAACAAAAGGTTCTTAACCTCTTCTTAAATATCCATTGGAGCGTGTCAATGCCTCCAGCGAAATTATTCACATACATTAAATGAAGCGGTTTGCGCGGGCAGTATTGGTTACTAGACATAAGGGGTAAGAGCAACCTGATACGTGAAGAAATTGTTCTCTTTATCATTTCTTTCAAGAAAATAATTCTTTAATCACTAAATAATGCCGAGAGGTCGATCAACTACAAAAGGAAAGGTTTATGAGTGTGTTTCCCACCTATCGTTTCATAATATAGGACACCTTTTCCTACATCTAGTATATTAGCCTCTTAACAGTTATAGAGAACTATGAAACTTTACTTTGATGCTATCAATGTAATTTCTCAAGATTCTTCTATTTTATCCTAGAGATGCAAGCCTGTTGGATCCAAAAGTTAAGAGCTTTATAATTTTCGAAGTGTTTCAACTAATTTGGTTAAAATATGTCCGTGAAACATTTAAAGTACAATTTTTAAAAACTTCTGGGATCATATTTGTTTTTGAGTAAGTATATCGATACATGTAATGTGGAAATTTAGAAAGGAGACTTGTGGAATAACATCATGATTTGACAGGTATGATATACCAAATCATTTAGTAGCGCTTTTTTGTGCTGATGGGCTTCCTCTCGGAGGTGATTAGCAAATACTACCCACCTCCGAGGGGAAAAGATTGTTCTAATGAGTCATTTCGGTTTAACGAACAGATACTTTTTTCAACAAAGCTGCTAATTGATGCTATTCACTATTTTTTAGAAACTAAAAGCAGCTTTAGAAAGATGTTTTTTTTCGTCTAATCACGAGCGTGAGAGCCCATGAGCTCTTTACCGAGCTCAAAACTTACCATCTTTGTGATTCTTTAAAAGCAATTATTTTCTCCTTGTCGGTGAAAAGCGGCACCATTGATCCCCGCTCTGGTGAATAGCTGTTAGCCACTACGGTCCCAAATAATGTTACAATTAAGTTCTTGGAACATCTGGGTTTTCACATAGGATATTCAATTTCATGAGGATATTCAGGGAGAAATAGTATAACTCCCCTTAACCAGTATTATACTCTTTGCTCGTTGGTTTTTTTTAAATTGCAGATTAAGAAAGGCAGGCATTACAGGCAAACAATTAAAGAAAGAGTGAGGGAAGGTAAAAATCTCAATTCACTGAAATACGATTGAGTGGAACATGAATGGACAGTTTTTAACCTGACTCCAACCGAAATAAGTTAACTTTCAAAAAGACTCCTCCGAGTCCTTGAGTAGCCTTAAATTGCCTTAAGTCGCTTTAAGTCTTTCTAAATCGCCTTAAGTCGCCGAAAGTCGCTATAGTTTACGCAATGGTATCAGGGTTCCACCCTTTAAAATCGACCCCATTCACTCCACTCCAATAATAAGGAGAGAAGGGATGGCGGCCGAATGGTTGGTGTGGTGGACTCCAGATTACGCAGTCCTGTTTTGTTCTCTAGCGGGCATCATTGCCTTGTGTTCTTGTGTTCTTGTGTTCTTGTGATCTTGTGTCCTGTGTTCTTGTGTTCTTGTGTTCTTGCGTTCTTGCGTTCTTGCGTTCTTGTGTTCTTGTTCTTGTTGGTGAGCATCATGATTGAGCCTGCTCACTTACCATGAAGTTATCTAAGATCAACATTTCATTATGAATGATTTGCGTGATAGCGTTTCCCGCAGTCTTTCATTGTGACGCATAAGGCTGTTGATATTGAGGCGTATCTGTGCATAACTTTGGCTCAGCTGGTTTGATTAAGTCTTCCATAATGCAAAAAGTTTGCAAGTCAAACTATTCAATTCTCAAGAATACCGAGGACAAGTTCGATTATCCTGTTGACAAGCTACCTCTTGAATTCCGTGAGCCTTTTCTAACATCAGGTTACCGTCGCCCACATTTGTCGGCTAGGGAATGTATTCAAAGTGTCTTCAAGAAATCCAACGAAACAATCAATGTTTGGTCACATGTGATTGCCTTTTCAGCCTTCATTTTTCGTTCGATCATCATCTTTAGGAAGCACAATCCATTTGATGATGGGTTTGTTTACCCCTACTCTCCTTCGCAATAGGGGCGAGCGCTATGCCTTTGATGAGCTTCGGAGCGCACCTGTTTAACTCGATGTCAAGAAAGATTCGCCATGTTTGCTTCTTCTTCGACTACGCAGCTATCAGCTTGTACGCTTTTACTGCTGGTCAGGCATTTTACTTCTACTCAAGACCCGCGAACAGTAACTGGCTGATCTTTCGCTCCTATTGGGTTTTCATAGCTGTCTGTGCTGTAGTTTCCATTTTGTCAACTTACTCCTGTTGTGCATCTAGACACCGTTGGATAGATTTCAAGTTCCTAATTCGAACTGGAACTTTCGTAGCATCATTCTTTATAAACACACTGCCTTACTGGCTGCGGATGTATGACTGTACATCAGAACTAGATTGCAATGTTGTATCTTATCCTAGTTTCAGACGTCACTTTCTGTTTTATGCAATTGCTGCCTTGGCTAACGGTACGAGGTTACCTGAACGACTCCTGCCGGGCGTTTTCGACTTCTTTGGTCAAAGCCATCATTTCCTGCATATTGTAGGTTCGATAGGTACGATGGATGAATATACGGCCATTTATTTGGATATGTTGGGCAGGAGGAAAGCTATGGAAAATCTGTCAATTATACCATCGATTGCAAACTGTCTTTGCGTGACGTTGTTGGTGGTAATTTGTAACATAGCTGTGGTATTTTGGTTTGCAGCGTCAGTAGACAAAACAGGGGAAAGGGAAGCCGAGAGTAAAGGCAACTGATCCACTGAGCAAACTATTTGGCCGACAATAAAGACTTTGCTTGTATCTTCCTCTGAGATTTAGTAAGGTCAATGTAACTTGCTTTCAATATGAGTTTTGAGTATCAGTAAGTTTTAGAGGGTAATCTTCAATTCCAGCTTTGGTCTGAAGTTAGGGTGCTTGATCGTATGACTTCAAAGCCAAAAGTCGTAATTTCTTACTTGAACTAAACGCTTTCGACTAGAGTACGCCAGAGACAAGCATTCGTATTTGGGAATGAAACAAACAGTCATTTGTCTCGATGGAAGGGCCGCTAAGAAACTTGTGATGTTAGTCGAACGGAGACTTATCAGTTCAGCTTCAGTAATTATAATCTGAACCTGGTTCTACGAGTCTTAAAATGATGAAGGGAAAGGGGGTTAGCTAATTTTTTCTTGGCTCACTTATTTCCGAGTTGCAATCCAATTTTGCTCCTCATCATATCCTTTACCGACCTTTTATGTTTGTTTTACCTTTCCTTCCTTTTGAAGTTTATTTAACCCATCTTCCTGACTTAAAAGCGATAAACAACAACCAGCAATAACAACAACAACAACAAAAACTACCGCGTCCCCAACAGGATTAGTTGTGCAACAAACTCAATTTACATTTGCTGAAGTTTTCTCTGTTGTCAGGTGCATCTATATTTAATAAAATACCTTTGTAAATAAATCAGGCCTCTAAGACTCTGCATGTTTTAGGTAGCGACTGCAAAGCATAAGAAAATATGTGGAGATGAAAGGTTGTTCACGTATAAAGAGATAGGTTTCATTTTCAAGGGAAACGAGCACCATTAGAAAAGAGGGATGAAACAGATTAGAACTAATAAAATGATGTAAACATGTTTTTCGCAGGATACGAGTTGCAAAAGAAAGCCGCATGTCGTCTCGGGAGGGGGGGTGCGGGTTGCGCCCCCCCTGCACCTCTCTCTTAGATCCACTCCTGATAAAAACTGTTAGCGGAAAGACCGTATTTATTCCAGAGCGCCTCAGCGATATAGCAGATGGGACATTATCTATCTATCTATCTATCTATCTATCTATCTATCTATCTATCTATCTGTTATCTAGGTTTTTTTTATCAGTGTACTTCTTGGGAGGGAACGGACGCTTACAAGCCTTAATGGTTTTGTTGAATTTCCTTGCCATCGACACTTTTTTCTTTACAAAGTACTGTCAATTATGATAACATTATATATAATGGCAAATAAAATAAATTCCAAATTTCAAACTGATGCGAGTGACGAGCCCTCTTTAGGGTTTTTAGAAAAAAATAACGAGTAGTGTCACACTTTTTGTTGAAGATTTTCTAACAAAACTTTCAATTCTTTATGGTAAACCCTACCTTTATAAGTTGCATATCGTGGAGAAAATAAAAAAAATTCAATGAACTAAAGGCGGTCTGCCACGTCTAGTGCATCTTTATAAATTCTACCCCGCGGGAGATGACAAAACGCGGAGCCCTATTCTTTAAAGTAACCAGTGGAGTACCTAAATGGAGTACTCCTAAAAATCGTGTATTGGTCAAATAACAATCGGTGAGCTGGCAAGCTCAAAATATATCAAGATATGTACATCTAAACGATTCACCATGTTTGTAAAGTGTTTTATTTGACCATACTCCGTAGGGCTCCGCGTTTTGTGATCTCTCGTACCCCACTCCGTGGGTAGCCTGTGGTATTACCCATAAGTGAGTGAAAAGGTTGTGAATATTCTTTGATCCCAGGCTATAATCAGTTACTTATTAAAGTTTCACAAAAGAACAACAACGTGCGAAGTTCCGTGATGAAGTGTCGGCGTCACATAGAAACCTCAGATCTTAATTTCAATAGCGCCAAAGACAACTGCTCTCTTCCTGACTTCAAGGTGCCATTTGAATTTCGTGACCCATACATTTTAACCGGCTATCGCTGTCCACAACTTTCTGCCTGGGAATGTTTACTAAGTTTGTTCAGGAGAACGAACGAAACCATCAATGTTTGGTCGCATGTAGTTGCCTTTGCTGTCTTTGTTATTCGCTCGATCATCGTCTTCAGTCAGCACAATCCACTTGAGGATGCATTTGTGTATCCTTTGCTCTCCTTTGCTGTTGGGACATCTGCTATGTTCTTCATGAGCTCAGGAGCGCACCTTTTCAATTCAATGTCGAGCAAGATTCGCCATGTTTGCTTCTTCTTTGACTACGCCGCTATCAGTGTGTACGCATTCTCTGTTGGACAGGCCATGTACTTTTACTCAAGACCATTAGGTAATGACTGGCTAATCTTTCGATCCCATTCACTTTTCATGATTGTCTGTGTTATCGTGTCCATCGTTTCGACCTTCTCCTGTTGTGCATCCAGACATCGTTGGATCGATTTCAAGTTCCTAATTCGAACCGGAACTTTCGCGACATCATTTTTTATAAACACGCTGCCATATTGGCTGCGAATGTACGACTGTACATCAGAAGTAGATTGTAATGTTGTGTCTATCCCTTATTTTAAGCGACAGTTTATGTTCTTTGCGGTAGCTGCTTTGGCTAACGGTAGCAGGTTACCAGAGAGACTTCTGCCGGGTGTGTTCGATTTCTGTGGTCAAAGTCATCACTTTTTACATATACTTTGTGCGATTGGAGCAGTGGATGAATATTCAGCTCTTTATCTGGACATGTTAGGGCGGAGGAAAGCTTTGGAAAATTTATCAACCCTACCCACTTTTACAAACAGCCTTTTCGTGATACTGCTTGTACTTGCATGTAATATTGCAGTGGTAATTTGGTTTACAAAGTCTATTAAGCCAGTTAATGGTACAAATAAGACCAGTGCTCGAGATAAAGGTGACTGAATATTTATTGACTCTTTAATTCCCTGATCTGATCGTTAATTCTTCCTCTCTAGCTGCTACACACTTGTAAATTAGTTACAACGACTTGCTGTGAGATCAAGATAACAACATCTGCTTGATACGTTTGAGTATTTACAACATATTTTTGTCTGTTAATATATATATCTTATTGTTAAAAACTAGATCATTGGATAATGCAATTCAAGACTTTTTATTGGCTTAGCCATCATGGTATATCAGCCAATATACCATAATCTACAAATATGGCAAGCACATGTGTCAGCTTAAAATTAAAAGGGAGCTAAAAATTTAATAAAATTTAATAACTTAATTTAACATTTTTAATAAAACAATTATTCCACTCTTGTTGGATATGAGATGATTATAGCCAAATCGGCGCTATGCGCATTGTTGGCTATCCATCATCCCATATCCAATGCGCACTCGTGGAATAATTGTTAATTAGACGTTTTGTTGTGTAGTACTGCTGTGTATTTTTACGAGTTGTGCCATATTTTGATGAGCCCGTAAGGCAAGTCAACTTATGAAAAACGAGTAAAAATACTCAGTGATATTACACAACAAGATGTCTAATAAGAGATTTATGATCCAACCTGCCAAATTGTAATTTCAGTGTGGGCGAATTTTGTATATATTTCTGGAGTACATATACCTCATGATATTCATACTCGTCTTGGGCGTTATTTGTACCCTACGGAGTGTAGTTGGATAACAATTAAATTTTATTCTAAAGATAAAGTGAATATTGTTGAATAAGTTGGAGAGAAAGTCAAGGGGATTATTCAACAAATTCACTGAGCCTGAGGCAAATATTTGTTTCAGTGTAATTCCTCAGGTGCTTTTGAATGTTGTTGTAAATTTGTGTTGTTTTTGAAATCATTCTTTACAATGGCTTTGATTCCTCTTATGATGATAAGCAGCCAGTTTCCATTAGAATCACATAGTTGAATAAAATTTCTCATTCTGATTGGTTATTGAAGTCAGGTATTTACTGTGGAATTGTGAGTTAAAATGAGGCTGAGCAATATTGTTTTGCATCTTGTTTCATGCTCAGGATAAGTAGCAACAATATTCTTTGTTAAATTGCTCTTGAAAATTGATTTCACACACATTGGTTTTCATGTGCAATTTAATGCAGAATTCTCTGATCTGGTTATGAATTTTCCATGGTTAATTTAATTTAATCGGTAAAAACTTCATATCTTCTCTTTGAAAAGTCACTGTTAGGCCAAACTTAGTAGCACCTTTTGTGCTCTTGAGAATTGTATATTTTTTTCATTGCGTATATCCCTTCCTGTGTAACATTGACAAAACGTGAGGCAACCACCGTTTAATTTAAAGTTCCTGCCATAATTGCCACGGGTGAGGTGATTTAAGTGAGATATGGCATAATCCATCCCCAATCAGACGTGTATCTCTTTAATCACCAAAGCAATTATACTAAAGGGATATTACAGGGAGAAGTTACATGTTATCACTTTTAAGAGTTGAAGGTTAATATCACATATTAGAAGGCATGTTGTTTTATTATTGCTGCCAGTGATTGGCACTCTATTTTAGATACAAATTAATTTTTTGTAATCTCTCATTATGTTCTTATTTGACATGGAATAAGTATCTTTTTTAGAAACCTTCAGAAAGTGAATATCTTAGCTATTGGGAATATAGGAAATAAAAAACGGAATACACTCATTAGAAACAGATAGTACTTGTTCTTTACATTTCCACCTCTGTATGAATTATGGTTTGCATTTGTTGGAATATCTCACATAATGAGTGATTTCACTAGCCTCCATATTTTTTTCCCATTTAATCTGGCAATTTTAAAACATCCTTGCCAAGATTCTCCAAATATTGAATTTAGTTTCCAAGTATGTGAATATTGGTAATGAACTGAGACCGGTGCAAATGTTGGAAATGTCAATAATTTGATAATAGTTTATTAATTTATAGTGCTCTTTTTAACATGTAATAATCAAAAGCGCAAAAGTTTTTTTTATCTTGCATGATTGCTGAAGAGTGCAGAAATGTGTTTGGGGAACATCCAAGATGCATAAATAAGGTCATTACTTGTTCTTTTAAAGTTCCCTATTTTGCAACTTGATAACACATCCATTTGTGATAAAAAGTTATGAAACTAGTCGCTTATTTGATATGACTTCAAAATTCATGTCCTAGTTAATTTAGCTACATCAAGCTTTGCAGATCGATTGCGCGAGAATCTCTGGTTTTTGTGCCACAAATTAAGATGATAATTCTATAAAACAAGAGAGTACTATATGTCTGCTTATAGTTGCTTGATTTGGGATGATTTTGTAGTACAGTATTTTACTAATATTGAAGTACAACTGGCACTAGTTGATTTCATGTCACTAATAACTGCTCTTACAAAGTTGTTGACTTTCCAATGTCACCATGTTTAATATGTATCGAGTACCTTTTTTTGTTTTTTGTTTTATGGTGTATGTGTTACTCAGGTATTATTGATTGTTAAACAGGTCATCTGCTTCAAAATATGGTTATAGTATGTAAAACTGTCACAAGTGTGTAAGTTTAGATTAAGTGTAAGTGTTCTGTGGAACACAAATGAAAATAAACAAACAAAGCTTTCTTCAGTGTTGTGATTGTTTCACTCAGACTTTCTTTCCATTTGATAAGTTCTTTCTTGCAATCATTCCCAGTTACATGATGAGACTTTGGGTGTATATTGTGGTTCAAATTTTATTTCCCTCCCATTGTTATGTCATGTAATTGCCAAAAGAAATTAGATTTTTTGCAAAGATTAGTTTGGACGTTTGTGAATATATGAAAATCATATGTTTGTGAACTGTGGTTAAATTAATGAGTATGAAAGCGATCTTTGCAGTAATAAACTCTACTTCAGCAGTAGCGAAAATAAGGCCTGAAAAAAATTCAGGCCTGTATGGGATTCAAACCCATGACCTCTGTGATACTGGTGCAGTGCTCTACCAACTGAACCAACTCTTCCAACTGCTCTGCCAACAGTTGGTTTGTTAGCTCAGTTGGTAGAGCACTGCACCAGTATTGCAGAGGTCATGGGTTTGAATCCTGTACAGGCCTGAAGTTTTTCAGTCCTTATTTTCAATACTGCTTAAGTAGTGTTTGTTACAGTAAAGATCACTCTCATACTCAATACTTTGAACCCTGCACCAATTACACTGATTTTAAGCTGACTGAATCTTGTCAAGACNGGTTGCTCATTTGCTGTCCGCCTAATTGATCGCGAAAAATGGATTTTGAGCCATGACGTAATCACAAAGTCCTTTGAATGCGCACCTGCATATTCTGAAAAAGGAATAAATTAGAATATACTGTTCTTTGTCAAAGGAGCGACAAGCGTCGATGATGAAGTTCGCAAATTTTGTTTCGCTGTTTCTTGTCTGCGTTTTGGTGGTATATGCTGTTGATGGCAGAAAACACCAGCGTCATAAGAAACGAGGAATGGAACGAGTGAGATCAGAGGAAGCTGTGAGGGAGATCGTGCCTAAATTGACGCGAAATACTCACAAAGCCACAGATGCTGTCAGTGTTGATGTGGTCAAAGCAGATAACAAGGCTACTGCTGAGAACAAGGTCAGGTAACTGGGCAAAATTCATGGAAACAGTGTAATGACAGTACAATTGCATCCGAGAACGCTAAGTCAAACTTCTACGGAGGAATTGACGAAAAATTGTTAGATTTGGACTTTGAAAACACTGGTTCAGTTGAGCATCCAAAGACTTGTCTTTGTTTACAGTTATTCAAATATCAGACTGAACCTATGTACAAGTTTCTAAACGAATTAATGCATGATCAGATGAAAAAGTTCAAGTAATTCTCGAGTTTAAAACTTAGAACTTGAAAAAATTCCTTCTTTTGAACAATTGCTACCTGAAGTCATCGCAAATGTCAAAACATATGAAGTCTAATTTCTTGACAAAAGTTAAAGATGCTTCTCAATACCTTCGAGGCAAAAAGGAGTTTATTAAACTTATACGATTGTAGCCTTAGCAGTCTGTCGGGATGCAGTGCAAATAGCAGTTATTACGAGAAGTATTTGTGAACTTTAAACGCAGAGTATGGCTTTGTAGTTAAAAACTTCACGCTGCGTTGATGGTAAGTGAAAAAGCTCACAATTTACATACAAAGAATCCCTCGAACAGGGCAGCTCTTGCCGAACATGAGGCTGCTGAATAATTTAGGCATATGATGACATTTTAGAAACAAGGTTTAGATACAAACTGAAGAGTAGATTCTTTCCTAACACTTGATCAATTTCAAAAAGCGATTAGAAATATCAGATTTTGTCATTTTGGCGAATAACATATTGCGCTGTTTTGCCACGCTTGAGAGATGAGATGGTGGCATTAGTTTCCTCCGGAATTCGCGGAAATTGCTCGCTTTTTGCCGCAAAGTTTTTTTTCCCAAACAAATAACATCACTTCGGTCTACAAAAGTAAACCGCAGATAGGTATGAAATAATAGAAACAAGCCTCTAAACTTGATTACTATAGAGTGGCCTGTATACTTAAGTGTAAACAAGTTCCTTGGAAAAGATTTCCTTGTCAATACAAATCTAATAGTCGCTTTATGATTAGCAACCTGCATATCAACCATAATTCTATTCATCAAGTGCTTATATTTGGTTACAGTAGCTGTTCATCTCATTTTAATTTTTTTTTACTTACGATTGTTACTGAGATGTCTCAAAGACAAACAGAGAAACATTTTTCTAAAGAAATGCAGACCAATTATGATCTTTCAGTGCGTTCTACAACTGCTTGTCCTTGTTTGGAACACCAACAGAACAGGGCAAATGTTCAACTACTTTGATGATCAAGAAACAAGTGGAACAGTACCGGTGGTGAGCTAATCCATCTGTTATGGCCTTTCTTGCTTTACAACATGTTGGCGATAATAGCAGTAACGGACCATACAATACTTGGCCTTAAACGCGAGCCATCTTCCGTTCAAGCGATTGCAGTGGCGTTAACTGCTGGAGTTGTTACTTGTGTAACATTTTACTGGTTTAAATTAATTGCCTGTACACTGTTGACCAGTTGCATATTGATGTTAGCGTGGAGAATTTTTTTATGCGATGTTGATAAAGCGATGGATGATCTAAAAGAAATGCGGCCAGAGTTCAGTTTGAAACGTGAAGAGTCAACTGTGAAAAAGATATGAATGGTGATCACTTATT